AGGAGGTGACCAGAAAGCAATGGGAAAAAGATATGTAGCATGCTTGTACTGAAGAAGAATGTGATTCCAGGATTCCACCAACGCCTGGCCAGCACCTGGCCTCGGGGAGCTTCTCCCTGAAGGGCTCTGGTGTCCTTTGCCATCTGACAACCTGACTTGATCCCCTTCCTAACTCTGGATTCGGTCTCACTGCTCCCCCTTCATCGTGGGTTAGAGTCATAATCTATGCTCTTTAATTTCGTATCTTGAATGTTTTCCTAGGGCCCTACTTCACATCTTCCTGCTTTTCTTCCTTTCTAGCGTCTTCCCTGTACTTTTTAGCTCTCTCCTATCCCATCCATTTTCAGGGTCATAGCTCCTCCTCTGACCAAGCATGAGAACAGACATTTTCTTTCTAATAGCTTTGTTTAATGTTTCATACTTAACCCTTCCATTTTAGAGGTGACTTGCACTGGTTTCTATTACTCTTGGAAAATGTTTACGAACCAACATTTACATTTTAACACAGTTGTTTTTACCACAATCATAATAAAATACATTAAAAGTCTCTAGAGGCCTCACTGAAATGTGATATATTGCAAGCACACTGTGGCAGTGTCTGAAGAGGCTCATTGCTCCAGAAGGTCACTGAGAGAAGAGGTGCTTTGGGCAGCATCTGCCATCGTGTGGAGTGAATAGTAAGCATCTGAGCTCTTACCTGCTGCAAAGTCCTAACTCCAGTGGCTCTGATGAGATCAGCTGCTTTTCCAGGGAAACAAAGAACTATTTTGGATAGTTTTAATGACTGGGTTGCTTAATTCACCTCCATTCCTTAGAAACTGCCTCTCACACCAACAGTCCTTTCACGAATATAATAACATTTCCGTCATCTAAAATATGATTATTTATACACGAGTAATTAATAGTCTTATGAGTGAGCCTCCACAACAGGTATGACTCATGTTTGGCATTTATATAGCTTTACTGTGACTCAGGAATAGAGCCTGGGCTTTAGGTCTGAATTGCCTAGGTTTGAATCCTAACTCGGCTGTGTATTAGCTGTGTGGCCTTAGGCAAGTGACTTAACTTCTCTGTGCCTTAGTTTCCTCATCTGTAAGATGGATATATTAATAATAACCACATCATAGGGTTGCTATGAAATTTAAATAAGTGAAAATACACAGCACCTGGCACTGAATGAGTCCGGCAAGTATTACTGGAGCTGTAAGAACCTACAGATTAGTTGGTGAAAGGATAAAAGAGGAAAAAAAAGTTTGTACTGAGCAAAGACAGACTATGGAGTATGCAGTGCTGTCTGGACCCTAAAATGTTAAGAAAATCAAATACTTTTTACATCTTCCCCATTCTATTCTCTATCTTGGAATAATAAAAATAGAGTATTTGCATTTAAACCCTTAAGGGCTGAGGCTGCACACTGAAAACTAAATAAACAAATATTTCAGGTAACATTTTTATTGGAGGTCTGAAAGAAGCTGTGAGATACAGGCTAACATTATTCACATGACTATATGCATGTGTGTATGAAAGTGTATACGTGTGTGTGTATGTGTGTGTATGTGGGGGTGTATTCTTGAAACTATGTAAATGAGGCCCACCTCAAAGGCCAAGATCACTGGAAATAAGGTGGTGGTGGGGTATAAAAAATGACACAATTAGTAAAAACTCATGAAACAGAATATTCTTATACAGAATGGAAAAAAATGAAACAGGATATTTTAGTTTAGTAAGCTAATATTTGGTGAGTTTCAAGTATGAATTAATAGGTGAATTTAATAGATAGGGAGTGTCAGTCTAATCAATAAAAATGTACCAATAAAAATGAGTTTCCTGTTTTATTTATGGTTGGGATTTTCAGTGTTCAAATATCTCCAAATATTCTAAGAAGATACTTCAAATTGTAGGCTGGCATAATTGGATAATCAGCTATGGTGTATAGGATTTCCAGAAATACAAAGCATCACTAATATACAGCAAGTGATTAAATAAAAGCCATTTTATAACTAATGATAGATGTTCAAAGCAAAGGACCATATAGTTTACTAAAACTGTATAGTCCAAGAAGAAAGTCAGATGTCAATTAAAGTCCTGATTTTTTTATTGTTGGTTTTTCTCTTGGGGTCAGATAAAAAGTATACATATATGTTATATATACATATATACTATATATAATATCAACACTAATATCAAATATTAGTACATCTGAATTCATAAACCTGAAAAGAAACTGCCATACAGATTTATTTTACTTCTTTCTAGTGGAAAAACTATTTTAGAAAAATGTGGGCTGGAATTATATGGAATTTTAATTGGTCAATGGTTATTTAAAACCATATTGAACCTGGCTGTACCACCAGTTTAAAAGAATAGAATATTTTCATTTTATCCATAGAATACACATTTTAATGTTCTCTACTAAAATCTATGCATAGTAAACATGGTATACAGGAAAACCCACATCTAAATACCAGATTTGTAAAGCAAGGACTAAGGTGGTTATACAACAGCAGATTTTTATTAGTTATGTCTACTGATATGGTTAGTCAGTTTCAATTTTGAACTCACTAATTACATATTTCTGTAACTAGAAGCTGCATAAAGCGTTTGTATCAATGGCATAAAAGAAGTTCCCAACTCTCATTTGAACAACCTGTACTGTTGCTGCAAACTGAAAAGATCTGGAAGAAATCATTTCCACTGTGCCCGGAGGGCCATTTTGCTTGTGTAGCTAAAGGACAGGAAAGCACTTATATCCTTCCTTGATATGCTCACAGTGGGCATCCTTTTTATCAAATATATATTTTTTCTTTTATTGACTGCCCTTGGTTAAAAGCACAGACTTTGGAGATAAACAAAAATACAAAGACGAAATGCCTAAAGTGACTTTAAGATATGCAAATGACAACAAAACCATTTAAATAGGTTATGTCTTTGCTTTCCTTAAAAAGACAACTTAGATGCAATTTAAAATTTCTGAATGTGTAGGGCCTTCCTAGAATTCCAGGCAAGACTTGTTTTGTAGCCTTGGTTCTTTGTTAACATCCCAATTATTATTCTTGCAGTGGTGGGGAGGGTGATCCAAGAATATTTTACCCCCCTTCTCAGGCAAGGGAAACAAAAGCAAAGATAAGCTATTGGAACTACACCAAACTAAAAAGCTTCTGCATGGCAAAGGAAATCATCAGCAAAATGAAAAGGCAACCTACTGAATGGTAGAAGATATTTGCAAATGATCTATCCAATTAGGGGTTAAATACAAAATATATAAAGAACTTCTACAACTCAACATCCCCCTAAAACCAAACAATCTGGTTAAAAAGTAGGCAGAGAAACTGAATAGACATTTTTCCAAAGAAGACATCCAGATGCCCAAAAGACACATGAAAAGATGCTCAACATCACTCATCATCAAGGCCATGCAAATCAAAACCACAATGAGACATCACCTCACACCTGTCAGAATGGCTGAAATCAAAAAACACAACAAACAACAAGTGTTGGCAAGGATGTGAAGAAAAAGGAATCCTTGTGCACTGTTGGTGGGAATGCAAGCTGGTGCAGTCACTGTGAAAAACAATACAGAGGCTCCTCAAAAAATTAAAAATAGAATTACCATATGATCCAGTAATTCCACTACTGGGTATTTACCCAAAGAAAACAAAAGCACCACTTCGAAAGGATATATGTCCTCCTATGTTTATGGCAGCACTTACAAGAGCCAAAATATGGAAGCAACCCAAGTGTCCATTGATAGATGAATGGGTAAAGAAGAGGTGGTGTGTGTATATATATATATATATAATGGGATATTACTCAGGCATAAAAAGAATGAGATCTTGCCATTTGTGACAATATGGATGGAGCTAAAGGGTATCACGATAAGTGAAATAAGTGAGACAGGGAGTGACAAACACCATATAATTTCACTTATATGTGGAAACTAAAAAACAAAACAAATGAACAGATAAACAAAAAAATCAGAAACAGACTCATAAATACAGAGAACCAACTGGTGGTTGCTGGGGAAGAGGTGGGGAAAGGCAAAATAGGCGAGGGAGATTAAGAGATACAAACTTCCAGTTATAAAATAAATAAGCCATGAGGATTAAAAGTAGAGCACGGAGAATATTCAATAATACTGTAACAACTTCGTATGGTGACAGATGGTAACTACACTTATGTTGAGCATTGCATAATATATAGAATTGTTGAACCACTATGTAGAACATCCAAAACCAATATGACATTGAATGTCAACTATATTTTAATAAAAAAACGAGTATCTTATCCCGTGTCCTCTTCTCACACCAACTCTACTTCTCAAAGGGTCTCTACTCTTTGATACAGCCAAATATTTAAGCCAAAGATCTTCCATGCAACAGAAACTATGAGAATGGTCCATCATGCCTGTTATCTTTCTGCCATCAATCATATAACCTTCACACATTTTCATTTACATTTTTGGGGGCATGATTATCAATGCTATAATATCCAATCTGTTTTCACACATAACTGGGCACAGAGCTGATCATTTATTCTATTCTATTTCTTATAATGACTATGAGCACCAAGACTAAATTCTCTTTTAGTGTCTAGAGGTCAGGCAAGTTGATGCTTAATATTTTTATGATGATGGCCAAGAGTATTACACATAATTATGCAAAATGGCAATCTGGCCCTGAGGCATTTCATTTTCAAACACCTTCATGTAATGGCAGAAGGAGAAGAGTGGCCAATCCAATTTCCTGTAGTATGTCCATCTTACTTTTACTCAAAATAGTAATATGAAAATATTCCTAGGATAATTATAGAGCAATAAAAAACCTTCCCTGTTGATAATGGACAGAAATTAAACAATAGAGAATTTTGCCAACTTAGACTGCCTTTACTTATTAAAATCTATTTTTTTTACTTTGAAGCTCTCTTTTAACAGTATCTGTAAGCACGTTTTACCCTTATTTTTTTTAAATGCAGATTTGAAGAATTCCCCACACATTACTTACTTGTTTAAGCTTCTTTAGATCTTCATCAAGTTCTAAGTTGTCCAAAATAACAGCAACAAACAAACTCAGGAGGATCTATAAAATGGTTAAATAACAATGAAAAAACCCACATGCCGTAAGTATCAAAATATTATATATATATGATATAGAATATCTACCTAAAAATATATACTACATAGAATGCATTAAATGAAAAATGAACATGTAGTTGTGAAGCACTGCACAGGGATTTTAAGGTATTTAGCACAAATATGTTAAAGGAAATGCATACGTTAACTGAAATAAACAATTTAGGATATTAATTTGCTCTATGAAACCGATTTAAATGGAAATTAAGAAAAAAGTTTTTATAACTCAACAGTCCCACTTCTGAGACTATATCCAAATAAAATAATTTGGAGTATTAAAAAGCTTTATATACAAAGGTGCTTGATAGTTATTTGTAATAATGAAATACCAGAAATAGTATCTAACCTTACATAAATAGGTAATACAGTTATGCAGATCTCTATTATAAAATTCACGCAGCCATTACAAATTCCCATTGTGAGAGCTAGTCTCCAAGAGGGTCCCCTGGTGTTCACACTCTTGTGAGCCTCCTCCCAAGTTGAATACGGCTGGTCTGTGCAATAGGTTACGAAAATGATTGTGGGTGACTTATGAGACTAGGTGATAAAGACCCTGTGGCTTCCAGCTTGCTGTCTCTTGGATCACCCACTCTGGTGGAAGCCAGGTGCCATGTCATGAGGACACTCAAATGGCCCAATGGAGAGGTCCATGTGGTGATGAACCAAGGCCTCCCGCCCTGTGAGTGATCCATCTCACAGGATCCTCCCGCCCTAGTCAAGCCTTCAGTTGACTGCAGCCCCACCAACATTTTGACTGCAAACTCATGAGACGTTCTGAGCTAGAAACATCCAGCTCAGCCTGTCCCAGATTCCTGACCTGCAGAAAATATGTGAGAAATAAATGTTTATCCTTGTAAGCTCTTATTGTCCATAATTTGTTATACGGCTAGATAAAGAATGCATTCATGAATTTTAATAGTATTGAAAAAATGCTCACATTACAATATTAAGTAAGAGTGTACAGGGTAGAAGTGCAAGGAGGTACAAAAAAGAACAACAGAGCGAATGCTAGAAGGAGGTACTTTAGAAATGTTAACGGTGGGGCGCCTGGGTGTTTCAGTTGGTTAAGCGACTGCCTTCGGCTCAGGTCATGATCCTGGAGTCCCGGGATCGAGTCCCACATCGGGCTCCCAGCTCAGCGGGGAGTCTGCTTCTCCCTCTGACCCTCTCCCCTCTCATGCTCTCTCTCACTCTCTCTCTCAAATAAATAAATAAAATCTTTAAAAAAAAAAAAGAAATGTTAACGGTGCCTGCCTTTGTGAAAAACAGACTTCCCCCTTTTCCTGGTATTTCACCACATTTCACAAATTAAAGAAAAAAAGGCATATGCTTTTTTTGGAATGGGTAAATAAGGTAAAAGAGAGAATGCAACACAAAAGTAGAATTTTAAAAAATATTTAATTTTTAGTCCTTTTTCAAGTTTGAATTCTCTAAAGCTCCACATTCATTTGATAGATCATTTTCATTCCTAATTTATGTTCCTCCTTTCAATCTCCCTCTTAAGAAATTATTTCCATTCGTTAGTATTAGATGGCTAAGCATGAAGGTAAGAAAGTTAGGGCAATTTAGTCATGACTTTTAAGTACCAGAGAGATTTATTATGCAGAAGTTAATGGCTAGCTCTTTTCCACGTTCAATGAGTATATAACAAGGGGAAAAAGAGCTGCCAGATATTATTAAATTTTGACAGTATATGCTTGCCTTGGGACAAGTGCCAATACCCTCCGTTTAAAAGCCATGTCCATTGGGATCCTACCAGAACTTAAAGAAGATACAGAATGGTCTAGATGACAGATGTTTACTGATGTCACCATGTCTGCCACACCACGGACACCTAGGCACAGATATATTCAGCCTTCCTCTAACCAGACATTATTCTCAACAGGACCTTTCATAGTCCCCTTTAAGTTTAGGCCCCTTGCATGACCATGATCTTCTCATCAAGAGCAGTGTCTATGGAGGGGTACACCATTTCCATCACTCTTCGGGTACTTGACCAGGCACTCCTCAGTCCTAATTTAACCAGTTTTCCTATCTTACCAGTAAAGGGTAAACACAAATCTAAAAAGAAAAAAAAAATTCCCTGATGATAAGAGGGAAAGTGACAGTTCTCTTCCCTTTTCTTAGAGCATTTCCTTCAGAAAACTTGTCTTCTTCTGGAAATTCTTCTCCTGCCCCTTTGAGATGTATATACATCAAATTAAAAGCAAAATAAATCTCACTTATTTTACAACCCAGGAATGGTTTTCTTTGGAGGGGGGCAATCTCTTTGACACATAAACATCAGGCAGACAGCACCCTATCTATTTCCCCTTTTCCCTTTCCATGGGGGGAGTGGGGGGGAAGGGGAGTGTCACTTAGCCACACGGTGTCATGTTGCGAAACTACCTACTTGTCTGGAAGGTATCCATTTTCTTTTTCTTTTGGATAAAGGTAATTAGCTACCACAGATGGCCACCCCAATACCCAGGTGAGTTTAGGGGGAACTCTACAAATGGTGTTGTCACGTCTTCTTATGTGAGGCCTGGTTATTTTCATCTGGAGGACACAGATGTAACGGGCTATACATATACAAGGTGAGATTGCTTTGTCTTTGCGGTCTCCTTAGTGGGTTGCCTGTGATGCCTGCTGCAGTCTGGATTGGTGCTGATCTGATCATAAAACTATTTTCTTTCTCATCTACCTTGGTGGGGAGAGGTGTTCTGGGTTGGCAGGATGTTTTATTTTTAATTATTTTCCCAACACCAGACAGATGGCAGGCTACTTAAGGACAGAGAGGTTATGTTCTTCGATTAAATTCGACAGGAAGTTGATTGGGCCCCATCAATGTGTCAGACACTGCCTGGTCAGGAACACAGATACGATACTGGGCTCACTGCTATGAAGTTCACAGTCAAACTGAGCCGCTGTAGGTTGGCGGCCGGGTAGAAGGAGCACCGTGGTGGGAGACCTCAGTTAGCCACCAGACACTGAGTTTTGAGGCCCTTGTCTGTGAAATATTACAGACAATAACAACAATAGCTCAATGAATTGTAGCTATCCCCTTTTATCATTTAATCTTCTTCTGACAACCCTGTGGCGTGGTACAGCCTGTATGAAAATATACAGACATAAATTTAGATAGGAGAAACTAAAATAGTTTTCTTGATATTTCTACACATGAATTTAATTTAGTCCATAAACCCTCCATTTGTTTGCTGGCTGAAAACTGAATCTTGTTGTATCGATTCAATTCAGTCCTTTAAAACTCAGTTACATTTGAATAAATGCTCCTTTTGCTGGCCTAGGGTCAAGGGCATGCTTATCATCAGCGTCTGGTCCACTGTGGCCATGGGGCCTGTCCTCTGTCCCCCATCCGGGGCAGCGATGGTGCTTGTTTGGGGGCCTCTGGTGAATTGATCACCATCTCGGCTCCTGTAGCTCCTGCTAAGGTCTGATTCCCAGTGACACCCTCTGTGTTAGTTCCCTGGGGCTGCTGTAACAAGTTGCACAAGCTGGGTGGCTGGGAACGACAGAAATGTACTCCATGATAGCTCTGGAGGCCAGCTGTCCAAAATCAGGTTGTCAGCAGAACCACGCTCCTTCAAGAGGCTCCAGGGGAGGATCGACCTCGCCTCTCCCAGCTTCCAGGGGCCCCAGGCGGTCGTTAGCACGTGGTGGCATCACTCCAGTCTCTGCCTCTGTCTTCACGTGGCTGTCTCTTTCTTCCTGTGTCTCGTCTTCATCTATTTCTTATAAGGACACTTGTCATTGGATGTAGGGCTCCCCTGGATAATCCAGGATGTCGCATTTCAAGAACCTTAGTTTAATGACATCTGCAAAGACCCTTATTCCAAAGAAGGTCAAATTCACAGTTGTGGGAGTTAAGACATGGACATCTCTTTTTGGGGGTCCCCATTCAAGCCCCTCTACTCTCCATCTGGTCTCTAGCCTGGGCCGTTGTTCTCACACAAGTGTTGTTCCTAATCAGGAAGTCGGGAAATTCTGCCATTCCAGGTGGGAACTGAGAGGGACTTGTCCTTGAGGTTCTCTCAGGCCTCCCTCTCTTCTCAGAACTTCCTGGACCTCCAACTCCATGCAGGCCACCCCTCATCTGTGTGGGGTCTCCGGCAGGGCTGCCACCCCCCACAGTTCTGATGAGAAGTGGGGCCAAGTCATGGATGTGGAGCACACCCGGGTTGGCACCAACACTGCCGCGGGCCCTGAGTGTGGCTGCTGCCCTACCATGGAGACAGGCTGCGCCCCCCTGCCTCCCTCAAGCTCCGTCCTGGAAAATGTTGTTTCTTCTCAGAAAGGAGGAACGTGAAGGAAAACTGGAGCGGGGTTTGACAGGGAGGCTCACACAAGTATGAAGACTGACAACCGAAACTAAACCCAATCAGAGTATCACACATTTAGTTCTGAGCATTTAGACCTCTGAGAGCTGATCTGGGCCAACGGGCCGGAGCGTGTCTTCTGAATGCTACTTATTTAAGATTGTGAGGTACTGATAAAGTCCAACCGTGTGCTACCAAGATAACAAAATATCAAGGAGAAAGATCATTTTTGGCAGGAAGAGAATTATGAGAAAGGATTTCCAGGTGGCATGTGCAAAGACAAGGCCTTGGGAGCATGTGGCTTATTTGGGGTCTGGTGAGTGGTTAAGTACCATAGAGCATGGCTTCCAGAGGCCAGAGAGGTGGCAATTTGCCCAAATGCCACCAACGGAGGCTGGGAGGTGTGAGAGGGAGGTTGTAATGATCACTAAGTGATGACATTAGCTTCCCTTCTGTTAATTTTTTCCTTCCAAATGTAATTTTTTTAGGCATAAAAAATTTTTAGGCAAATAAAATAATGTAGTTATTTTAAATTGGCTCATTGGAACAGTGACTAGACAGTATAAAGTACAGTTTGACAAAGGGCTATTAAATACATAAGGTTTTGTCATAAAAAAAAAAAAACCAGTCA